TAGCACACAACCCTCACGATAACAACGTCAGTGCCACTAAAAGTTAATTAAAGGAATTATACAGAGTAGAGCACTGAGTAGAGTCTCTCATATAGAATATAGTCTATTAAAGACCTCTGAGTAATTTAGATTTATGTGGGGAGTATTGTTCTTTGGTTGCAAAATACATGCATTTACTTCTCACAAATCTATAATGTTGGCTATATAGCGTTCGTTTATTCATTTTTCAATAGAAACATGCTTACAGAATTATACCTTTGTCAAGTACTTCATACTCATAGCATTAATAACATAATTTTATTTTCACAAATCATTTGACTTTAAGACCCTGATCCACGAACACACAGTTTCTACACAGTTACGCCACTCCTACAAAACGTATCTGCCATATTATTTTAACTCGACTCAGCATTCGCCTTCAATACAGCACGGGAGCTGACGAAGATGCCCTGTTTCGTTTTTTCAATAAATATACGGGTCCTCGTAGAACAATCGATGCTCTTACCCTTGGAGTATAAGAGGTAGGAGAGTAGTGTCTTTGTTGGGCGGTGTGTATGTGTCTTAGAACGCATCGAATACGATTTGTCTGTAACTTGCTACCTCAGATTTATAAAGTTCTATCTGCTCAATATCTAGTTTTGAGAAATTTGACGTTTAAGATTTTGAGTTTTACATCAAGTCAAGCTTTTTTCGAATACAAGTCTTTGAATATCTTGATGGCCACTCCGACTAATCTTACGACTTTGACGGAGCAGATAGAACATTTTGTTTCTGACGTCATGGTCTTAGTAACTCAAAACGGCCAAAATTGTCAGATAGAACGTTGTAATTCTGAGGTAGCGAACTGTCAGATTAGAAGTAACCGAAGAAAGGGGCGGGGGTATGTGTTACTAGTCAACAATAAAACGAGAATGCCGGTTCAAGGAAATTCCTTGGTTTTATGTTGTTTGGTTGGGGGAGGGGGAGGGTTAAGATGAGCATGGCTTTGCCGAAAACCACTAATCTGTACTGCAGTACCATTGGGATGCTATGGAATCACTTTTTCGCCCTGAGTGCCACAAGTCCAAAATGCACGTGGTAAACGCCGAAGCCCAAAACATTTGGTAGATACTTCCTCAAACCAAGGAATCGCAAAGCATCTTTTAACAGGTACTAGTGCAATGTTTTCTTGATGACTGACCCTCTACAGAATAACAGCAACATTAGACGGCTGCCCAGTATTATATACAACATTTTAGGAGTATGTCTTTCTATGGTATTATCGGTAACATTTAATTTACCTGCCATGTTGCTGAGTAAGGGATTTTATTTGAGTATTTTGTCCTCTCTATGAATAAAGAGAAAGTACCCTTGGGTTCTCTCCCCTTTTATGAAAAAAGTGTATAAATCCTTTCTCTATAGTTTCTCTGTCCTCTATGATAAATGAAACATATTCTTTTAAAATATGTCCTCCCCTTTTACGGCTAAGCGTCGTATTTTTCAGTTGAGACCCCTCTGGAGGCATTTAGGTTGTATGGCCCTCTATGGAATATCACTCTCCGGCGACGCTCTAGCAGTGTTGATCTCCCTGCTGAGGTCAATGTCCGGGAAGTCGATAGGCGAGTGGATTCCGTCCGAGTCAGTGTCGCTCTCCCCTGGCTCAGGGTTGATAAGCGGGAAATCCACACGCCTCGGACCCTCTGTCGGGCCCTTGTGGTCGAAAAGCAGATAGGTTGTCGCGCGTGGCTCCAATGGCGTGGGGCTCGTCATTTGGAAATCTTCGCCGAAGAAGGCAGAACCTCTCGCACTGTCAGCTGTTGGATCGTCAAGGCTCGCTGCGCGGATTTTTGAAGACTCCGATGGTCTCTTGTAGGAACTGGCGGGTGGCGCGGAGACAGAGCCCGAGTTACCCCATTCACGGGTGGAGATGTAGTCTGCGGGATCTGGCACGTGCAGATGAGTAACTTCCCCTTGCTCAGGCCATGTGACGAATTTCTCTGACGACATGCGCGTTTCCCCCTGATGCTGATGATGATGCTGCTGCTGCTGCTGTTTAGATTGTCCGTTCAGCTTTGAGCGGTCTGTAGGGCCGTTTGTTACAGGCACGTCGTCCCCTGCTTCTTTCCCTTTCAATTTGTTGATGCCGGGCATTTGACGACTGGAAAAATGTTCCTCATTGGCGTTCACATCAATAGATGACGTCAATTCAGAGCCTTCGTGAAGAGGAGGCGAGTTGGAGGGTTCGAGGATTCCAACTGCCTGGTAGATGGCGCGCTTTAAACGAAGAGCGCATTTGTCTGTATCTGCCCCATCAAACACGCAAGCGGATTTAAAATTGTTGACCAGCGTGAAGATCAAGTCAGCTTCTGATGTTTTAGGAGAGAGGCCGCGACGGCTTCGACGGGGATCCGAACCTCTGACAACAAGGCCCTCAGCGGAGATGGGTCGTGCCCTTAGTGAAAGGGGAGCTAATTTCGACTTCGAGCGACATACCTTCGGAGAGAAAGATTTCTGAGAGGGCGGTGCGTGAGGAATGTTGGGCTCAACGAACCTGTCCACGTAGTCTTTCAACGTTGCTGACCCTCTGCTGGTTCGGTGTATTATGTCAGAGAAGCTATTCGGCAGCTCACTGCTGTGGTCACGCACGTAGACAACTGGAATCCTCGAAACGATAGCCAGGCACAAATCATGAAAACAACCCTCGTCTTCCAACGTAGACTCGTTGAAAAGATACACACAAACATCCGACTCAGCCACAACACAGTGGCGAGACGTCTTCTCTCCATTTCCCACAAGGAGATGAATCAGTTCCTCGTCGTCTGCAGGGATATGTCGCACTTGGGAGTGCCTCACGTAAAAGTCTTCTCTCAGCATTTCCATCACGCCCTGGTGTAGCAGCCGGTCTGAGCAGAAGGTACCGGGCTGTGTGCAGTGGCTGATGAGATGGACTCGAGGAGAGCGCGCATGCTGGGCGGGGATACACAGGACTGGGGCCGGACTCTCCCGAGACTCTGTCACGGAAATCTGCGGGATGTCGCCAGCTTGAAAAGAGATGTGGAGGTTGGGAGGGTATGGGGCGGGGAGGGGAGTGAATCATTCTTTAGTTAAGATATGGTAGACACGAGTTATGACCCTCACAAATTAATCAGACATTGTGGAACATCCTGTTTCGTTATAATTTCTGTTTTGGACACACAGCTTCTCGGCTTTCTATCTGTCTGTCTGCAAGTGCGTCCACTTGTCGGTGTGTTATTCTGTCTGTCTATCTATCTATCTAACTATCTATCTATCTATCTATCTATCTATCTATCTATCTATCTATCTATCTATCTATCTATCTATCTATCTATGTATCTATCTACCTACCTATCTATCTATCTATCTATCTATCTATCTATCTATCTATCTATCTATCTATCTATCTACCTAGCTAGCTCTAGCTAGCTAGCTAGCTAGCTATCCGTGTGTGTACTTGCTTACAATCAAACTATATAGGTAAATATATGTATTATAATGTTTCAGGAGTCAGTAAACACTCAGTTCTGCGGAAGCACAGTTGAAATTTGCAAGCTGATCTATGTTATAAATCAACATAACTCTTTTTCATACTGAAATGGCTTCGCACTAATGGAAATCAGCAGCAGCTGGCCACCTTTCTTAAAGACTCAATGAGTAGCCTGGATAAGATCCTGACGGGCAGCCTGCATGCAGATTGATTTAAAACAATCCGAGACAGCCAGCTCAGACGCTTGCAGTGGATCTTCTACCCAGGACAAGCAGGATTCAAGGGTAATGAAAGAGCAGATAAGCGAGCAGGCTCCGCAAACACAGAGGGGGTGCTTACCCTTGATCCTATACCTGTAATAGCCCTTTCTCGAGATCACCTAGCCAGCAGCTAGGAGGAATTCTTCACGAAGGAGATTGTGATTGAGAAAGGACTACAGCCTGGTAAAGGCAGGAGGAGCAGCCTGCTTGACACCAGCATACGCTACAACAACCAACTGATGATGGAGACATCAGCCTGCCTACATTGATAGGACCCTTATGAAGAGGGGTGAGGAAGCATGAAGCACCCCGTCTTCCTAGGACCCCAGTTCTACATTCAAGTATTAAAGTATTCTTCTTGTTACTTCTTTTCTCCTTCTAATGCAATATCGTGACTTCAAAGCAAAACGAATGTCATCTGCTTAAAAAGACGCGGAAAGTAAGGGGAGGGGGAGGGGGAGGTCATATAAGTCGAGTCACGGTGAAACCAGGCGATCGTCAATTTTTGGGCATAAAGAAGCTGTTGGTATATTAAACTATATATCTTTGAATAGGAGTTAAGATATTTGCGAATGAAAGAAGTAGGGGGTTGCCTGGTGCCAAAGGTAAAATTAGCAAGAAAGTGCCTGCCTCGGTTTTGTGACATTTGACGCTTGAGCTTCACATACTTTTTTGTGCTTTTAATCCACGTGTTTCAGTAAAATCCGCATCGAAATGTGTTTTCTAAAGGACATAAAAGATGTTGAGCAAAAATAATAAAAGTGAATGATAGAAACTGAATAGGCAAAAAAAATGCCTGTTTCGTCGGTTTCCTAAATATCACGAGCACCTGATTTCAGCACGATGCTTCACAGATTTTCAGATTGTTAGATAACTCGTAATCAGAAGACCGGACTTTGCTTGTGCTGTCTAGTTAGAGAACACAGAAGCCTTGACGCAAGAAGCATCGATCTAGCTATCTTTAGCACGGCATTATTCCGAAAACGGCTCTCGAGGTGGTAAGCCGAAGTCCACTTCTTTATGTGTGAAGATGAAAGAGCGAGAAACCATTGTCATGACGCGTGAAACAACACCTTAAATGAAAAAGCTGTATCTCCCGTAAGGGTGAAGTATTTCGAACACGAACTGAAGCTTAGAAATTATTTTATATTTATCATAGTTATTTGACGTCATTGAGTGTAATGGTAGAAACTACTTCGTATATATAATGGTCCTCATTAGCTGAGTGCTATATTCTTAGGTTGTCTCCCTGTGACATACGTTCACAAGCACGCACAAACGTACGCCCCCCCCAAAAAAAACCCCCAAAAAAAACAACACACACACACATGCGGCATGCACACGCAGACATACACACAAGGACACATCCGGGGAGACACACAAAGTACAAAGGCACGCACACAGAGATATGCACACACACGTGCGCGCGCACGCACACAAACACACACACACACACACACACACACACACACACACACACACACACACACACACACACACAAGGGCACATACACATATACAAATAAGCACACATAGACTCCTAGACACACACACACACACACACACACACACACACACACACACGCAGAGAGAGAAAGAGAGAGAGAGAGAGAGAGAGAGAGAGAGAGAGAGAGAGAGAGAGAGAGAGAGAGAGGAGAGGGAGAGAGAGAGTCACACACAAAGGTACACACAATCCTCTAATTCTCCATTCTTCTCTTCCCGTTCGCTGCTTACCTCTACCAGCCATTTTCGTCTTTACAGGCGGAGGTCCCGTTAGGCTAACAGAGCGAACTTTAACCTCTGGCCTGTCACTAGACTTTCCCTCCTCCCCTGGAGAGCTCAGTAAGGGCTGCAGGAATCCCCAGAAACGGTCCAGAGATGCGTCCTGAGGAGAAATTATTTACAAAATTAAAGTTAATTCGCAAAATATTAACGAGTAATCGTTTTCCCCTCCGAAATAAGTTATTCGCCAGTTTCGATCTAAAGTGAGGCTATGGGAAGAAAATGAGTGGCAGTTAACTACACATGTAACCCTCACCCCCCCATGTCTTTGTCCACAAGGACAAATACAGCCAGCTGTTTTCTGGTCCGTAAGTGTAACGACCCCGGCGTTGGCCTCAGATTTATCTACTCGGTCAAGATAGTACCGAAAAATGTGTCAAACAAAGGGACATGCAATCTAACTCTTTCCATACAGTGTACCGGTAATTATATCGATGCCTTTCTTAACGCCTTTAGACTATGAACTGATAAAATTGGGTACAATAAGAGTCAATACTTTATTTCTTGAGTTAAAAAACAAAAATAAATAGACAGTTACAGCCAATAGGATGGACACTCGCCTTTTCTCGATCCCTACATCCACACAGTACTTGGCCTTGGAAGTATCTGAATGTCAAAATCTAATACCGCACGACATATGCTGTAGTTGATAAATTAGCTTTGGTTCATATCTACATAGGAACAATGTTGGTGGTCAATGTCAGTGTTGGCGACCAAACACACCCGATATTACACTGTATGTACCAGTGGTAAGATCATGCTGAAGCGTTAATGAACGCTCAGGCTGCGTGCGTGCTGTTAATTTGACTGATAAAAGGCATTCGTGAGTTGGAGATGGAGGAGGGGGGGGTCATGCAGAAAGGCAAACAGACAAACAGATAAAGAGACAGACAAACACACTGACATAGATATATAGATATATATGCAGACAGACAGACAGACAGACAGACAGGTAGACGGACAGACAGATAGACAGACAGATAAACACACACACGCACAAACATAGCTATAGAGAGCTGCAAAAGCAAAACGTAGAGAAAAATTGGAATGGGTTTTGTCAATGTAGTTTCTCTACAGAACTGAATTAATCATTTGTCATTTTTTCATTCTTTTAATGTAATTCTTTTATTCACGGAAATGTTTATTGATTATTTTCTCAATACGTTCATTGACAGACTGCTAGATTGCAAACTCATAGATTGGTTACGTGTTTTGCTTATTTCTTGATGGAATTATTACTTCATTAGCTGACTAGATCTAGTGTGCTTCTCTTGACTCAAACTCACACTGACTGATTATCTAATTATTCGATTCATTGATTGATGGATCACAATATTATAGATCCAATGCTTCCTCTGTTCTTACCTGAATGAGATTAGGATACAACTGTAGCAGTTCCACGAACTTGGAGATGACGTCCTCTTTGTTTTGCATCCAGTGGAGAGCGTTTTGGTAGCTGTACCAAAAAAGCGGGGTCTCGTTAGTTCCAGTGACGTCACGGCGATGGATGGTGGGAAGCTTCCGGCGCCGTCTGCCTACGGGGCTGTTGTTGAGCGCCATATTTATTGTTTGTCTTCTTAAATCTTAGCGTCAGTTGTTGTTGTTTTTTTTGTTTTTTTTGTTAGACTGACGTTTGTGTAGAAGATGAGACTCGTAGTATTTGCTCGCGTACAGTCTTTCAAAGGAAAAGATGAATAAATTCTGTATGCTGTCAGAGTTCATGAAGGGTTATGTTCAATGCATGCATGTAGATGTAGACTTACTCTTCTTTGGTTCTGAAAACAGATTAGTGCACCAATGCATCAAAAGTCCTCGGAATCAGAGCGTTGCTCAACTACTGGTCCACCCCGCGTTCGCATCACTTTGCACATAGTCTAACATCTTGGAGACAGTGTTTAGCGCTGCCGCTGAAAGGGTAACCTGACAGACACAGAAAACACAATAACTTCTGTAGTTCTCATACGTTCTGTTAATGCTGCATGTACTTATTTTCTGTGCCACATGTGGTGGTAGCAGGAATGATGATGGTGATGATGATGATGATGATGATGATGATGATGATGATGATGATGATGATGATGATGATGATGATGATGAAAATCTTTCGAGTCTCCGCCGTTTTGTTTTTTTAATCTTCTTACAGTCTACAGTGACATCGAATTATAATAAAAGAGATGGTGACAATGATGATGACGACATCGAATTATAATGAAATAATAAAACTGTGATAGTGGAGGAGGAGGAGGAGGAGGACGAGGAGGGGGCCTATCTATCTACCTCTCTCTCTCTCTCTCTATCTATCTATCTATCTATCTATCTATCTATCTATCTATCTATCTATCTATCT